CAAGTGGTCACAAGTGTCCCCAAATGCCTTCATCCCCTCCACTGCTCTGTCCAAATCCTTTGGTGACTAAGCTGGGCTAATATATGCAAGATGCTCTGCTCAGGCTCCCAAGTGATGGGATTAGAGTCTGGGCCACTGTACACCACACATTTTTTCTGTTTTTCAGGACTTGATAGATGATCCTGACATAAGCAAATGACAGTGGGGATGTGCTCAGAGCAATGAGAAGTTTCCTTGAAATTGTCTTTCAGCACTCTGGAGGCTGAGACAGGAGGATTGCTGAGAGTTCAAGGCCAGCCTAAAGTATATAGAGGATACACTCTCCCAAAAGAACAAAAAACAAAGCAAAACAAAATAAAAAACCAAAGTAAAAATAGAGCACTTATTTGAACAGTACGGTTTCTTGGTGCAGACAGGAAGCGATGCGAGACGGCATCTGTGGGTCCCTGTGTACCTGTGTCCGGTGTGACTGTTCACGAGGCTGAGCTGTTGAACCAGTCTAGGGCCTGTCCACAGGTGGATGGCTTTGTTGAGGGAAGGAAGCCAGGCCTAGAGATGAGTATCACTGGTTCACATTAGTATGGGAACCTAAATAAGATGATGTGAAACTGCAAGGGAGGCTTTTATGCAGCAAGAGGAAGGGAAGAACGTCCAGTGAGAAAGGGAGGTGGGGAAGAATATGAGGACAGTGTATTAGCACATTGAAACCAATACTTTTTTTCCTGGTTTTTTAGGACAGGGTCTAGCTGTGTAACCGAGGCTGGCATTGAACTCACTATGTGTTCCAAGTTGGCCTTGAACTTGCAGTGATCCTCCTGCCTCAACCTCCCTAGTGGTGGAATTACCTGGTAGAAAAGCCCACTTATTTTGCAGAATTAATCATCACTAATCACAAAAGCGGGACATGCCGATGCCTGGGCCTGGCCTCTGAGTCTCATTCCTCAATCCTGATCTCTGACCTGACTTCCGTTTCTCATGGATGTACGTTCAGATTCCATTTCTCTGGGTGAAGACTGCAGCAGGGCTCCCAGTGGGAGCCACGTGCACATCGAAGTGCACACATGCTGGAGCGAGGCGCATCAGGGGTGTGATCAGGTGTGGCACGGAGGGGTGTGGCACGCCAGGAGACCCTGGCTGAGGGGAAGCTGGGAACCAGGCTGTGGTGTCACCGGCCAGTGACAGCATCTCCTACGGCTTTAGTGTCCACGTGGTTACAGACACCTGGGAGGGAGTTCAGCCCAGGCCCCCATCAGCAGTGCTGGACCCTCACTGGCTCTGCATCTCCACCTCCAGTGTGTCACCGAGTCACTGTCTCTGAACTATGAGGACGACTTCAACCTCCATCACCCAGAAACCCTGCAGAAGAGAGAGAGAGAGTGCTGAACATGGGGCCTGAAACTTCTTCCTAACGTGGATTGAAAGGATCTTGCTATGTAGTTCAACCTGGCCTTGAACTTCCTCTGTAGCCCAGGCTGGCTTTGTACTCACAGCCATCCTCCTTCCTCAGTGCTGAGATTATGGGTTGGGCCGCCATATCCACTTACTGAGATATAAATTCTTTATTCATGACTCTATGTACAGGTTGATACTGGGGGCATTTGACCAAGGCAGAAAAAGCCAGGGTCTAAGTCAGATCTCATTTATAACTGTAGATGTGGGGTGGCTCAGAGAGTCTCAATACAAAATCCTGCCTTGGTCAAGGGAGAGACTTTATGATTATTTTCCAGTGCTCTAAAATTTGGAACACATCACGCTGTGCTATGCCATGTACCTTGGCTCTCTAGGGACAAGAATTACCATCCAGAAACTTGTGTTTCCTTGGTCAGAAATGTTTTCCTAGATCCTGTTTTCCTCCTCTTTAGAGTAGGGGTGACACAGTACTGAAGTCACGAGTTCCTGTGAAGTGGGAGGGCTTCTGCATTTTCAGCAAGGGTAAGAGCGTACAGATTTACTCAGGCATGGAGGTGAGACTGGGAAACAGGCCCGCTGGAAGGCTGGGTCAGAAGGAGCACAGGCCCAGCCCAGGCTGGGAGCAGAGAGCTCAGATAGACAAAGCCTTTCTGAAAGCAAGTGGCCAGTCTCAGAATTGTTCTGCAAAGGGCTTTGGCTTTCCCCTGCTCCCCTCCCCTCCCCTTCCCTTCCTTTCCTATTCTTTTTGCCATACAGGAAATTGAACTCAGGTTCCATCCATTCTTCGTGGTTAGCTATATCTCCAACTCTTTCCTGATTTTTGTATTTTGAGATAGAGTAGCTGTATCACTAAATATTTCAGATTGGTCTGACCCTCCTGCCTCAGCCTTCCAGAGTGCTGGGATTACAGGTGTGTGTCCCTACTTAATGTGGTACAGTGTGCCTGCCTCTGATGGCTTCTGCCTTCCTGAGAACTTTCATGTCTTCACTTGCTCTGCTCACTCACCCCTCCACCTCACCCATCAGACTTTCAGCTCATGCCATGTCTCAGCTGTCCCCAAGCCCTTAGCATCCATCCCGCCTCTTTCTCTGTCCCCACTCTCCTCTCCTCTCATCTGTCTGCCCCTCTTCAGCCCTGCTGCCTTCTGGCTCTCGAGTTGCTTCCAGCCGCCCCCTCCCGGCTGCTGCCCTGCTCTCCACTGCTCCAGGATCCCAAGATGCCGCTCTGCAGCCTTCCAGCATCTGCCCTCAGCCCTTCCTCTCCCCCATCTATGGACAGCTCCTGCTCTCCTCTCATCTCCTTCCTCAGAAATTGCTCCCTTATCACCATTTCTTTTCAGTCATTTCCATTTTTTTCTAGATTTTCCCAAGATGCATATCGGCATTTAGGTTATGAAACAGAAGCCCCTGTGACCGGAATGGCAAAGGGACCCCCCTGGCCTGCGCTCCCTCCTCGCCTGGGCCATTCTTGGGCAGTGCCCCTTGTTCAGACAGACGCCTTTCCTTCATTTAGGGTTTAAGGTGATCATCCAGGCCACCACAGACCTTGTTTCCTTTTTTTCCATCAGCCTGACTTTCCTATTTCAGTCTCTTTCCCTCATTTGAATCTCTGCTGCTTTTTGTGTGTTTGCTTTGTGTATTGAAAAAAAGTCAGGACTCCCTTTCACAGCTAAGGAATTAAGTCAAATAACCACGGCCCCGTGGGGAGGAAATGTCACACAGCGAGAGAAAGGCGAGATGACAGTTCATCTTTATTTTCCATCCACAAGAAATGCCTGGCTCTGTCCTGTGTGGAACACGAGGAGCACACGTGTTTCCTCTACACCCACCGCTCCTTCATGTGTCAGACTCAGGAGCCAACCCGCTCAATGTGTATATTTACAGGAGTTTGAGGGCCCGGCTCACAGCCCCCAGCTACGAGCACAATGTCTGCATAACTATAGTAATTAAGGTATAAACCTCTGTAAAAGACAAAGTATATATGTACAATTATCCATTAAAATACCTATCAAAACAGTATAAATATAGGACTAAAAACATTTCAGTATTACATCAACTATGCATAGTAATATTTCTATGGGCAAAATGTTTACAGTAAGCCAATATGGCTTATACTATATACTGAAGAAATCTACGACATGCGTATGGATCTGTCATTATATTTTAAGTAATTGTCTCAATCTGAGACTACACGTCATCTTCAATGGCTGTTTTGATTACAAGGAACCAAATACATAAAAATAGTCATATCCAACTTCTACTTCAAGGGAAATTTGCATGAGAAATGTAAAATTTACAAGGTACCAGAGAAAAACTCATCCCTCATGGTCCTACCACAGGTTCCCAGCTCTGGGGAGTGTGCTGTGGTGAGTGTATTCCATTGTTCCCTGGGCCAGAGATCTGGAAGGGAGAAAAGAGATGAGAGAGACTTCTTAGGGACAATTTTCTAGATGAAAAGATTGACACCCAAATGCCAAGCCCAACTGTAGCCTGGTCCAGCTCTATCTATAGCACTTCATTCTTAGCCCCAATCCTGAGCCATCATTTCCTGTTGTGGTTTTCAGTGTTTTTGACCCACATTCCAAAGATCACGTGAGATGGCTCGGGTTAGACCTAGCTTCGTCCTCATAGTGAGAGTGGTTCTTCTTTGGGACCTGACGGCCCTTAGAGAACATGGTACGATGCCCTTAGCGCTGTCCATGCACTTAAAGGTCTGGACTTCTGTCTATGATATCACCAATGTCAACATCGTGACAGAAGCCCAGGTGCTGAGCCTAATCCCAAGCCCCAGTGTCTCACTACATGCACATGATTTACAACAAATCCTTGCTTATTCCTCTACCCAAACACATACTGGAATGTGACTATTGTAAGAAGTCACCGTGAACCTAGTCTTTGTTAACTTTTTATCATTCTGACACACATCCACGACCTGATACTTGAGGAGCAGATGTGTAATTATGGAGAGTAGAAATTCATGCACAAGTGGAAAAATGAGCTAGGAAACCTCCCAGTGCACTCCAGCACAAGCAACACATCTCTGTGCAGTTGGGGATGCTCATGCAGTCAGGGATAATTCTCTTCCATGCCTGCATAGGCAGCGTGCTCCATCTGATAGCTTCTCGTTAAGCACTCATTTGTTATGTGTAAATCCCTGTCTTTTTCTCTCCCTGAAGGACAAAAGGTGAAAATACAGCTCTGTCAGGGTTGGAAATTTATGGCTGGGCAATAGATGTTCACTCAGAACAAAAATCAGTATCTCATCCACACTGCTCTGGACCCATTGCTCTGAGAGGAAGGATAGCTACTAAATCTGTGCCTCACGGACAATCTGCTGTTCGTGAGGTCCGACAGAGCAGTGTCCCAGCACATAGCTCATCTTTCCCAGGCCATGTGTGTCTGCTTGTCATACTGGTTGGCGACTTTGGAGGGGACAGGGGGAGGCCAAAATTGTGCCTGGGCTAGGCTGGTTCCTGATGTAGAGACAGTGGACAGGGTGGGGATCATGAAAGGAACCTCCCACGGGCTCCCCGCATTGCCTACATAGACACCAGCGGTGCTGTCTGAACACCAGGACGCCCACCCACCTTCTAGAGGGCACTGTTCTCGGGGTACCAGGGTCCAGGGATGAGGGCGCGATCTCGGCTCCACACCCAGAGTGCAGGGTCATAGGCTTGGATCTGGAAAGGAGAGCAGCCCCTGAGTGGATGAAGAGCTCAGGGACACCACCCGCATATCCAGTCTCCAGCTGTCCCTGGTCACACATGCCCAGGATCCCCTGTTCTTCTGTCCCAATCCAGCCCAGCCCCACCAGCCCCGTCTCACCCACCTCCTCACACTCCTCTCGGGTCACCCTGAGGTTCCAGTCCATGCAGCAGATGAATTGGTAGCGCAGCTTGTGGAACTGGGGAACCTTTTTCAAATTCCAGTCATAGAGAAACAAGAAGATGTCTACTTTAGGAGCCTGGTCATCCTCCTCCATGTCGTTGGCCAGGTATCTGGAAAGGAAAACAGGCTGCTGGTCAGGGCACAACCACTGGGCCCTGTGTCAGCTCTTGGAGAACAGGTGGGGCCCCTCCAGCCCAGGATGCCATCAGCCTGGCCCCGAGTTCCCGAGGACCAGGTCTGAGTGCAGAGTTATGGCCTACACAGGGCCCTTCTGAAAGTGCCTCTCACCCCGGGGAGGAGGACAGGAGCCCTGGGTAGAGCCTGAGGTGGCCTCCTGCCCCGTCACCAGCTGCAGCTGACATCTCCACCTCCCTGCCTCCATCCTGTCTTTCCCTGCAGCTCAGCCTCTGTCTCCTGGCCCCGTGGGGAGCATCTGCACAGGCGACCTTGATAAGTTTTTGTGCTCTGCCCTCCCCTCCCCAGTGGCCAGCACAGGGCTTGGCTCAGGGTGTGCGTGGATTCCACCAGCAAGTCGTACATGTCCCTCCCCATTGCTCAGACCCCTGGCAGAGGACTCATGGCAGAAGGTTTTGCTGAAGGAAGGAAGGAAGGCAGGGAGGCCAGCTCCATCTGTAGACAAAGGCCATGCAGAGTCCCTGGAAGACTCATTGCTGCAACAGAAATACTCACTGAATGAAAAGAACTGGGCTACTGTTTTAAGAAGGTTTACAGGACCCTGCTGGGGTCCTGTGTCAGCAGCCGCATCCCTAAAGGTGATTAGGTGAGCGAGGGCAGATGAGGAACCAGGGCCCCAGATGTCCTGACAGCGGGACCTAGGACAGTGCTGCTGGAATGCAGAGGGAGGGATCCGGGAAGGATGGAGACACTGGCAGTTGTGTTTTGTTGGCAGGACTGGGGCTGAATGTAGGGTTTTATGGTTGACCAACATCTGCACTCCTTTGCTACAGTTTTCGTTCAGAAACAGGGTCTTGGCAGCTTCCTAAACTGATGACGCCGTATTCTCCTGCCTCAGGCTCCCAGAGGGCATTGATTACGGGAGTGCACAGCGATGCCCGGCTTTGTGTTTGTGAAACAGATTCTCAGAGTTCCCCTAGACCTTGAACACTTGTAGTAAAATAATCCACCCCTCAGAGCATCCTGAGTGGCTGTGAATACAAGTGTGCACCACTACGGCCATTGAGGTTTGGATATTGTGAATTCTGTAATTTTTATTCAAGTTCAAAATGTGAAGTCATGTGGATAGGAAATAGGAGATAAAGGCAGAGATGGGTGCTCGGCAGGAGCAGGGAAAGAGAGGAAGGGAACATCAAGATGGTGAGCTGGTGGGTATAGAGGATTGTAGAGCAGGTGAGTTCCAGGGGACAGCTAGGCCTTGGTGTGCATGAAGTACTTAGTGATGTGGGAGCCACAAGGCAGGCGAGCCTTGGGCCCGTCTTTGAAGGCTGATCAGGCAACACAGAGCCTGCTCCCTGGCTCCCTGGCTTCCTGTCTCCCTGTCTCCCTGTCTCCCTGTCTCCCTGTCTCCTTGGATCCCTGTCTCCCTGGCTCCCTGTCTCCCTGTCTCCCTGTCTCCCTGTCTCCCTGGATCCCTGTCTCCCTGGATCCCTGATTCCTTGGCTCCTAGGCTCCCTGGTTTGTGGAGAGACTTGTCAGAAGTACCAGCAGGGAGCACATTACACTCAGTGTGTGCCTGTCAGGAGGGCATGCATGGGCCATGGGTCTAGAAAACCATAGGAGGAGACAAGAAGACATTTGGTATTGCTAAGGAAGGGAACCCTCAAAGGTTCAGAAATGCCTGCCCTCGGGCCTGAGGGCTGAGGCCCACATATGGGTTCTTCCTGCCTCTGTTGTCTGGGGCCTCAGTTTCCCCTGGTGGCATGCTTTAACCAACGTGAGGGCAGACTGCAAGATTCCTAAGAGGAGCATGGGAGCACGCAGTGTGACGCCCCTGTGCTACAGTCAGCAGTACAGAGGTTTAACGCCAGAGGCCAGGTGAGAGTCCCCTCCCACCCTCCAGGGCTGACCATGGCCTGTGGGGGGAGGCGCAGTACTCACAGCGCCAGGAAGAAGTGGATCCTCTGGTACTGCCAGGGGAAGAGGCCGGCCCGGCTGAAGTAAGCGATGACCATGGCCAGGAGGTGCTGTAGGAAGAGAGGACAGTCAGCAGGCAGAGCTGGAAGAAGAATGTGGGGACATGGATTGTAGGGGACAGTAGGGCCCCAGTCAGAGAGAAGAGACTCCAGTGTTGGGTGCCCTGGTCATTTGAGGGAAGTGAGAGCAGGGTGGTTGTTTGCAGATGAGAGCAGTGAGGATGGGGGGAGGCCTAGGTGGTCACTAAGGTTCTTTTGGGGACAGGGCACTAAGGTCACCTGAATCAGAGGGCATCTCTTAAGTGATAGCAAATGGGTTCCCTGAGAGTTGAAAGGAGGGAGCAGGACCTTCATGCAGCCCCAGCCAGAGAGGCCATATGCAGGGAAACTCAAGTCACAGAGGAACCAGGCAGAGCAGGGTGCTGTGCCCATCCAGCCTCTAGGCCAGCCAGGCCTGGAAGGGAGATGGTGCTGAGTCCTAAGGGGGACTGATGGTGGAGGCTGAGGTAGGAGTTCCTAGCAGGGACAGAGGAGTAACTGTGGGGCTGGAACCTGCCCTCCCTGGGCGGTGCCACCAAGAGAGCCCAGCTCAGGGGAGAAGGACCTCACCTTGTCAGAGACTCTCAGGTCTTTATCCCAGGCCAGGAAACTCTTGATGACCGGATCCTCTGTGAAGAGAACACAGTGTTAAGATTGTCACCTGGCTAGGAGTCCCTGGGAGTGGGAACACAGCAGAACCACAGCTGCCTGAGATGACCCCAGGGTCAGGCAGATGGCAAGGGGAAGGAGGACATTGAATGGCCAGGGGCCAGGGGCTCATCCCGAGACTCCAACAGGAGCAACTGTGTGGGGCCAAGGTAGCAAACCACATCCACCTAGTTAGGACCTTAGGAGGAGTCTGTAGGGGCCTCCCCTGACACTCAAATGCACCACTGTGGAAGTCAGAGGCATCCGGGGCATTTGCTCTTGTGATGGGCACAGCAATGTGACAATGGCCTTGTCCCCACTCCAGTGCTGCAGTCACTTCCGTTCAGGAAAGTGAGCAGCTGCTCTCTATCAGGTGAGCTGGTTTGAACCATGCTTTGTGATCCCAAGTGGGAACATGTTTTGAGAACTGCGTCTTCTTTGTCACCTGTGGGGAAGGATGACACTAAAGTCTTCCTAGAAGGCCAGCTCAAGGCTCAGTGAGCTCCTTTCCATGGGTGAAGGAAGGGACAGGAAGTCACTCAGGCTCCTAAGAGCCAGGGGAGAGATGCTGTGTGGAGTCTCCTTACCGAGCAGCCGAGTGAAGGCCTCGTGGTGCTCAGGCAGCACTGAGAACAGATGCTTCCTCTTCATCTTCCTCTTCAGGCCACAGGGCATCTCCTTGTCACCCGGGTGGGTAAAAGATGCAGGGCGTAGGCATCGCAATGGCTGTCGCTGCTCCTTTTCCATCAGGGACAGATACTCCCTCCATCTCTTGCGAGGTGGAAGCCTGTTACCTTCCCGAGGTGCTACATCAGAGCACCGGGGCCCTCCCCTCTGCTCTTCCTTGGCCTCTGATGAGCACCCCCTCTTGCCCTTGTAGCCAGAGGACCGAGGTGAGAGGCTGGGGCTCCCCCTCAGGGCTGAGGCATAGTCCCCCTTTTGATTCTCCTCCTTCTCCTTCTCAGATTCTGATTCTGAAGGAGGCATCCTTCTGCTCCTTCTGGACAGGCAACTGAGACAAGAAGGGTGCTGGCTTAGGGGCTTCACTGGATAGACCTCCCAGGTCCTCCTGCAGTTGAGGTGGGTCAAAGGCGCAGGGCGTAGGCATTGCAATGGCTGTCGCTGCTCCTTTTCCATCAGGGACAGATACTCCCTCCACCTTTTGCGAGGTGGGAGCCTGATGCCTTCCTGTGGGGCTGGATCAGAGCACCAGCGGCCTCCCCTCTGTTCCTCCTTGGCCTCTGAGGAGCACTCCCTGGTCCACTTGTGGCCAGAGGACCGAGGTGAGAGGCTGGGGTTCCCCCTCAGGGTTGAAGCAGAATCCCCCTGGTGATCCTCCTCCTTTTCCACCTCTGATTCTGATTCTGAAGGAGGAATCCTTCTGCTCCTCCGGGATGGGCAACTGAGGCAGGAAGAAAGGTATCGGCCCAGGGGCTTCATTGAGGAGACCCTGAAGTCCTCCCGCAGCTGTACCCTAGACTCTGAGGAGCAATCTCTCTTCCTTCTCTGAAGAAAGGCCCGAAGCAGGAGGCTGGGTGCTACCAACAGACCTGAGGAAAGAAACCCAGGTCCAGTGTGAGCATCGTCTTTGGAATTCAGCCTTTGACATGTGTTCTGGTTTGTACCTCGATGTCCCCCAAAGCTTTGTGTGGTCATAGAGGGGAGATTTGAAGGTGATGATTAGGGTGTGTGAAGGTGGATTAAGGCTGTGATGTTGGGTGCCCCACCCTTGGTATGGGTGACACCAATCAGTAGATTTGCAGCCTGGATGGAATATAAAGGGACAGAAGGAGGGCAGACTTGCTGTTGTGGCTGCTGCTGCTTGGCTGGTGGCTGCTTCCTGCCTGCTCTGCGATGCCCCTTTGTCATACACCCTGCTGGGGAGCCAGGCAATGAGCTGAAGGAAACCTTTCTTTAACTTTGGGTGTCTAGTATTTGTCTCAGCAACCATGTCACCCCAAATCCCTCCTTGGAAATAAACCCCAAAGTTCCTCCACAGTTGTCCCCTCCAAAGCCCTGCTGATCTCCATCTGGCCCATTCTTCTTGCCACTGTTCCTTCACCCTGTCCCTACAAACCCTTCCTCATGCAGACTCTGCCTCATTGAGGGAGGACACCCTGCTTATCCACCTCTCCCCCTGCTCATTTTTTTTTTTTTTTGCCTTTTTTTGGAGACAGAGTCTCTCTATGCAGTTCAGGCTGGCCTGGCTCACTTTGCACCTAGGCTGGTCTTGAATTTGCAATGATCCTGCTGCTTCAGCCTCCCAAGTGCTGGAATTACAGGTATGCACCACCATGCCCAGCTCCCTTCTTCATTCTTGGATTTGTCTCCTGACCTCTTTCCAGCTCTGCAGCTTTTCCATCCATTGATCTTGGTCTTAGTTTCTTTCTTCGTTGCTGAGACAAAATACTGCACATTTGAAGTGAAAGCAGGGAAGATTTATAGTTGACAGTTTGTAAAGGTCTCTGTCCATAATGAGCTGGCTCCAGGGCGCAGTGGCATGGCAGAGGGCATCACAGAGGAGAACCAGTTTGTGGCGTGGCAGAAGCAGCAAAGCAGTGAAGTCCCAAGCAGCAAGCGACCAGCACCAGCCTCTTTCTGCGCCTTATATTTTACCCACGGCGAGGCACCTGAATCCTACCCAGAACTATGCTCAGCACCAATCAGTGGACTGAGTTAGTGATCACACACCCTCGATCCCAGCATCACTCTCTAGATCCAGCCACTCTGAAAAGCCCCACTATGGCTGCATGAGGCTTTGGGCGACATCTAGACTGGAGCCCGTATAGCCGTCCTTGTCCTGTTTCCTGTCCTTCCTGTCTCCTGTCTTTGCCTTCATTAGCCCCTCTTTCCTTGTCACCGTCCCTCTTACTGGTCACCTGGAGAGGTCTCGGACCTCTCCTGACTCCAGCCCCCTCACCTGATTGTCCTGGAATCTCATCATCCACCACCACCACCTCAGGGTGTACCCAGGAGAGAGGCTGGGGACTCTGGTCCTTACACTGGGAGGTTGGTGGCTGGTGGCCATGAGTTCTCCCAAACACCACCTTCCCCTCCACAGAACAGACTCTGATCTGCCTGCACCCCGCTTCTGTAATTCAACTGAACCTAAGCCAATGCTGCTTCTCCAGAGAGGACACAAGTGGAGACCATCTTTGAGAAGCAGCTGTTGCCCCTGGGCCGCCAACCCCCACGGGCTTTGAACCTTCTTATCAGGGAGATCAGAAACCTCTGAGGTGATCATGTGCTCCAATCTGGTAAACAGTGTGAAGAAAAACACACCTAGCTAGCAGACTGGACATCTGGGGCTGCCTGAACATCTGGGACAGACAGGACTGGACTTCTCGTCTTTTCTGTCCTCAGCAGATACTGCATGTGTCCACCGTCTGCTCTGAACATATGTGATCCTCTGACCCTCTGTGCTTTCTCTCCTCAGAGCATAGAGTGGTAAGGGAAGGGAGCAGAGTTGGCAGGAATTTTGGGAGATCAAAAACAATAGGACCTCTTGAGCAGGGCCTGAGTATGGACAAGAATGCCAGCGGCACTGACTTTATAACTGGAAATCTTCAGTCACAAACACTCGGTTCAGCCAAGCTTTTCTGCCCAATGTTCACTGCCCCTTTCTATATTTAGGAATCAGTGCTGGGGACATACATATTCCCCCTTCAGGTACCTTTGAGTCCAAGAGACTTCCTGCATGAGTCAGGCATGGTTGGGCATGCCTAGAATTCCAGTAACTGGGAGGCTGAATCAGGAGGATTGCTGAAAATTCAAAGCCTGGACTACTTAGACCCTGTCTCAAAAAAAAAAAAAAGTATCAGTGCTTACTATAGAAACAAATTCAACACAAGATAATATATTTATATATATAAGAATTTATACAAAAAAAAAGAATTTATAAAATTGCCTTACGGTGTTCACCCAGAGCCTGGCATTGAAGAATGTGAAGGGTCTGTCTGCACGCTGGAGACTGGGAGGATCCAGTTGAAGGCCTGGGGCTTAGCGTAGTGACTCACAGAAGTCTGATTCTGGAGGTTGAAGAATGAGCAGTGGAAGCCACTGAGGTCCTCTGAGGAGCAGGAGGAAACCGCCTTTTATACCATTCCTGAGCCAATCCTCCCTAGGGTGGATGACAGCCCTCCCTCTGGTGGGTCTTCCACGCCCAGATTTATGCTAATCCTATGTAGTGAGCTCTTCTTACTCAAATTGACACAATCATTACTTATCACAAAGAGAGTTCTTGAGCAGCACAAATCAAGGATAGTAGCCCTATCCCCACACACTTCCAATGGTACCTACAATTCTGAGGTGTCTGTGATCCATGTTATGTGATTACTAACTGAATAAGAAACATCCAACTACATTGGGTCAGCATAGTTCTGGGTGTGACTAAAGGGACCTGTTGAAAAGAGAAGCCTCGCCCTGGCTGTGAGTGACAGCAGCCAATAGGCTTGCTGCCTGAACGCAACAAAAGGGAAAGGAAGGAGGAAGGCTCCCATCTATTTGGAGGAGCTCCAGTTTTCACCTTCTCCTTAAGTGTCATCTCCTGGCTTGCATCTTGGACCCTTCAGCCTCTGGTTCAGACTTGCACTACAGTCAGATATAGACAGGTACTGGAAGTGGCTCTAATGAAACAGAATTGTAGAGATAAAATTCTTTGATGGCTTTAGTGGTTTCTGAAGTTTGCTTTCTAATTTGATCAGGCCTAAAGATGCCATGGGCTCTCCTTCTGATACTGTGGAGCATTCTGATAGTCCTTAGTGTGAGATGTGTGAAGGGATATGCAGTGTGGGTCCCATTGAATTATCCTACTCCATCACTTGTGCGAGATAAGGAATTTAGCAACTCTGTGTAAGGTACTTCTGAATATTTACCAAGTGACTCAGAAAGTGCTAGTTTTGAGTGGGGCCCAGAGAAGGCTCTGCAACAGATCCAGGCTGCTGTGCAGGCTGCTCTGCCACTGGGGCCATATGATCCATCAGACCCAAAGGTTCTTGAAGTGTTAGTGGCAGGTGGAGATACGGTTTGTAATCTCCCCCATAGATGAATTGAAGTGGAGGTCTTTTCAATTTTGGAACAAGACTCTGCCATCATCTGCAGACAACCACTCTCCCTTTGAAAAACAGCTCTTGGCCGGCTTCTGGGCATTAGTGGAAACAGAAGACTTGACCATGGGATAGCAAATTAGTGTGCCACCTGAGTTCCCATCATAATCTGGGCATTGTCTGATCCACCAAGTCATAAAGCTGGACATGCCCAGCTGCAGTTTGTCACATACATGATTGAGCCAGGCAGCTTCAGAGGGCACCAGTTCCATGAAGAGGTTGCCCAGAGCTCCTGTTGCTGCTGTATTGCCTCTGTCTCCCAGCATGCACCTGTGCTTCACAGGGTGTACCAGATCATCAACTCTCAGAGGAGGAGAAGCCTAGGGCCTGGTTTATGGATGATACTGCACGTTATTCAGGCACCACCAAGTGCACAGCTGCAGCATTATAGCCCCTTTCCAGAACACCCCTAATAGACAGCAGCAAAGGGGGAATCTTCACAGTGGGAAGAACTAAGGCAGTGCACCTTGTAGTACATTTTGCCTAGAAAGAAAAATGGCCAGATGTGCGACTATATTCTGATTCATAGGCTGCAGGAAACAGACTGGCTGGATAATCAGGAACTTGGAACGCACTTTACTGGAAGACTGGTGACAAAAGATATTTGGGTATGTCGATGGACCTCACCAAATGGACAAGGAGTGGAAAAATATTTATATCCTATGTAAATACTTACTAAAAAGTGACCCCAGTAGAAGACTTGAACAATCAAGTGCATAGAGCCATCTGTTCTGTAGATAGTGGCCAACCTCTTTCTGGGCATTGTCTGATCAGCCATCCCTTTCATTGCCCTGTAGTCTCATGAACAGTGTGGCTATGGTGGCAAAAATTGAGGGTTATTATGGGATCAGCAGCATGGAGTCCTACTTTCTAAGACTGATC